TTTGATCTCAATAAATTTTATATAAGTGAATTGCATAGGTCTTTTTTCCCACTTTTTCATTTCCCACTCCAATAATGTAATAATTAATATTGAAAACTATGCTTGTATAGCTACACAGAAAAAAAAAAAAAAGAAATGGAATTACAGTATGAAAATACCAGTACCATTATTTTGTTTTTTTCTCTATATGATGACCAATTTTGCTATTCATAATAATCACCAATAGATATAATGAAAGTCAATACTTGTATCTTTAGTTTTGAAGATATTGTGTTAATGAAGAAAACAGATTACCTAATTTAGTAAATCTCAAACTTTTGTCACCATGGTGCATTTAAGTGAATAATAAAACTTCAGAGGTCCAACTAACTCTGACTTCTTTCTTGTAGAAATGATATTGTGTGGTAACAAAGACTGAGAAGGAAACAATAATAAAAACAAAACAATTACACAAGAACCCATGATTAACAAAATAAAACAATAGTGATTCTACAAATATATTCATTATCATAAAAATATAATAGGTGAAAAATTATAACCTGCAAGGCACTATGAAAGGCACATTAATTAAAATAATGTCCCTTTGGGAAATTATAGGAATTCCACCTATCTAGATATTCCTATACCCAGTGGGGGAGTTTTGCAAAGTTGCTGATCATTTGTATCAGATATCCAGACTTCTTAATGGAATATTGAATTTGAATACCTACAATATGCTCGCATCTCACTAAATTAACTAATGAATAATGAATTTTAGAATTTGTTACTTGATTTACTATATTTTCAGTAAGTAGCCCCCATTTATGCGTAGAAATTGAAATGTATGGATTTTAAGCACATTTACGTCATTATATAAACACTTAAAAGTACTTTCATGACCCACCAGTGGGCCATGAATGCTACTTTTGATCTACATTGAATTTGTTACGTACTTATCCTTGAAACCTATAATGTATTCCATTTAGTCTTGCAGGCATTTTACGTATAAAGACCCTGACCATATTTTACAAATTTCTTATAGTCAGTCCTGATATTTTCTATTTAAGAATTTCTGGAAAGTTGGTTGGGCACAGTAGCTCATGCATGTGATCCCAGCACTTTGGGAATTCAAGGCAGGCAAATGGCTTGAGGTCAGGAGTTTTAGACCAGCCTGACCTAATCTCTACTGAAAATACAAAAATTAGCTGGGCACGGTGGCATGCACCTAATATAATCCCAGCTACTTGGGAGACCCAGGCACAAGAATCTTGGTTGGAGTGAGCCAAGGTCATGCCACTGCACTCCAGCCTCAGAGACAGAGGGAGACTCCGTCTTAAAAAAAAGAAAGAAAGAAAGAAAGAAAGAAAGAAAAAGAAAGAAAGAAAAGAAAGAAAAAGAAAGAAAGAAAAGAAAGAAAGAGAAAGAAAACAACAACCCCAAAAAGAAATTCTAGAAAGTATTAATTATATAATAGTTGTTTAACATATTCTTCATGTAAAATTTTAACATTGTAGGTAAGGATTTCTTCTTTGATTCTCACTTTTTAGGCTTTGTTCTATATATTTAAATATATAGAAATACACATCTATAGAAAATTTAAAATATTGTATATATTATTTCTTTTTTTACAAATAGCATATTTACAATTACTTATGTAGTATGTTTCTATTTATCAATAGCATGCAAGTATTTATTAGCATATATATGTAAATAACTTATATCTGCATTTATTTTAACTCAACAATATATCCTGAAGATTAATGTTAACATTATTGATCCCCTTCGTAATTTTAAACCGTTGGATAATATTTCATGGTATGGGCTGGTCAGATGGTAGTAGATTATCAGATTTATTAACATTAGTGTTAATGGACTTGCTATACAACCCACTCACTGCCAAATTTGACTGCCTTAATTAAATTTTTTCTCTAATTAAAAAAAAATTCCAGGGTATGAATCTGCTTGCAGAATTTTGATAGTTACAATCTATTGTTTATCATGAACAAGCTGGAATCAATGTCTTTGAACATTTCTCTTTGTGTATCTGTGAGATTATTTCTAATGGTTGATTTTCTGAGTTATACAGTCTTCACCTGTCAAAGTTTAATAGACAATGGTAATTTAATAGGAGCAATACAAATACACACTCCCAATAGTAGTTTATGGAAGCGATATTCATTGAAACAAACTCTTGACATCACTTGATGATTTTAAACTTTTTTTTTTATATTTAACTTTTTGAGTTAGGCTTTTTCTATATATGTGAGAATATGATTGTAAATAATTTAGGTGTTCTAATCAGTTTAATTCATTTATTGTTTCTTTAACATTCAGTTCTGATACAAACACTAAGCATCCCAAGTACATCATGATAACCACCTATTTAAATAAGAGTTTTAGTTGTGCCCCTTTAGCTTTGTGAATACTCATTAGTGAGACCACTTACACAGAGAATAGCTTTCTCTTTGTGTTCCCACGTTCTATGTTGAACTGTCTTTAAAAAAGAGAAGAAAATAATTTCTTACATAATGACACTATTATATATGTAAATAGTAATAGTATTATAGGAAAGGGGTTTGGATCCAGACCCCAAGAGAGGGCTCTTGAATCTTGCCCAAGAAAGAATTCAGGGCAAATCCGCAGTGCAAAGCAAAAGCAAATTGATTAATAAAGTGCAGTGGTGAAAGAATAGCTATTCCATAGACAGAGTAGAATGTTACCGAAATTAAGAGGAGGAATGCATCCACCCTAGACACAATGCTTATATATGTATTTTTTTCTATTTATTCATTTATTTTATTATTATTATTATTATTATTATTATTATTATTTTGAGGCAGTCTTGCTCTGTCACCCAGGCTGGAGTGCAGTGGCATGATCTCAGCTCACTGCAACCTGTGCCTCCCGGGTTCAAGCAATTCCCCTGCCTCAGCCTTCTGAGTAGCTGGGATTACAGGCGTGCACCACCATGCCCATCTAATTTTTGTATTTTTAGTAAAGACGGTGTCTCACCATGTTGGCTAGGCTGGTGTCGAACTCCTGACCTCATGATCCACCTGCCTTGGCCTACCAAAGTGCTCAGATTACAGGTGTTAGCCACTATGCCCAGCCCAATGTCTGTATATGTATATATAGGATAAAAAAAGATCTGGGAAGATGTGCTCTGCTATAAGGGTTTGTAATGAAGGACTAATTTTCTTAATTACTATGTTTTGCAAAAATCAATATTATTATCTTTAAGGCAAAATTAGGAACACCTTTATTCTCCAGATATCGGAGTATCTCCCAAGTCTGGGTCTGTTTAGCAAACATTATTAATTTGTTCCCTTAATCACAAATACCTAGAGGCTAGGAATGCCTCACTTTTGAGAATGCAGCTCAGCAAGTCCTGGCCTCATTTTCCTAGCCCTCCCTCAAGATGGAGTCGCTCTGGTTTAAAGGCCTCTGACAGTAGGACAGATTAAAGTTTGAAAAGATACATATGAAATGATTAACAAACTCATGGTGGCTCAAAGCTATAATCTCAGCGCTTTGGGAGGACCAAGTGGAAGGATAGTATGAGACCAAGAGCCCCATCTCTACAAAAAAAAAAAAAAAAAAAAAAAAAAAAAAAAAAAAGAACGAAAGAAAGAAAAAAAGCCAGGCATAGTGGGTACACACCTGTAGTCCCAGCTACTTGAGAGGAACAGCTGGGAGGATTCCTTGAGCACAGGTGTTCAAGGTTACAGTGAACTATGATGAGCTATGATTGTGCCCCTGCACTTCAGCCTGGGTGACAGTGAGACCCTGTCTTTAAAAAAAAAAAAAAAAAAAAAAAAAAGGCCTGGCCTATAATCCCAGCACTTTGGGAGGCTGAGACAGGTGGATCGCTTGAGGTCAGGAGTTCAAGACCAGCTTGGCCAACATGGTGAAACCCTGTCTCTACTAAAAATACAAAAATTAGCTGGACATAGTGGCAGGTGCCTGTAATCCCAGCTACTCCATAGGCTGGGGCAGGAGAATCGAATCACTTGAACCTTCAAGTCGTATGTTACAGCGAGCTTAGATTGTGCCATTGCACTCCAGCATGGGCAACAAGAGGGTAAAATAATAATAATCTCTGGAATATTAGAATATATAGAGGTGAAATAGAAATTTTTGTTATTTTTGCTTTGTACACTGTTATTTAGTGTAAATGTGTTATAATCCTGTTTTAGTTTATTAATTTCAAAACAAGATTGTAACTTGAGAAATTACACTTACTTATTCTTGTTTCTACTTTCTTGTTTCCCATAACTTTCTTACAAATTAGTATATATTCCTAGGTTTGAATTACCCATGGCTATCAAATTCGTTCAAGTGATGATGAGCTATTAGTCTTTGTTTTAGTATTTTTGGAGTGTTGGCAATTTGACATATTCTTGTAGAATGTACTTGAAAAATCAGCATGTAGTTTCAGAGAAAAAAAAAAAAAAAAAAACATACTAGAAACTAAGCAATAGTTTGCTACCCAGCATATTGGGAGCAAAATTCCTTACACAGTTGGTAAGAAGATGAAAATCACTTTGAAAAGCAGGGATTTTATTTCTGGTAGAATCTTCACAGAGCTTAGCAGCTGGTGAGTATTCACTGTGAACTAAGTGCTAAACTAGGCACAAAGGAAAATTGTACTTGCCTCTGAGAACTTACAATGTGGTTGGGGATTCACAACACACACACAACAAAGTCCAATTTAGAAACTCACAGAGAAAATAATAGAGCAAACATTAGACTTAACCACCCAAATATATAATTAAGGTTAGCATAATTTTTAAAAGTTAGTTTCCTCAGGAGGAGCTTTCTGAAGACATAAATTTAAAGTCAGGTTTTGAAGAAAAATATGAATTCGCAGGAAAAATCGGGGAATGTATTCCAGATGATGATGGAGTTTAACAACTATTTCTTGAATCAATGATTACAATTACATACAAACATGATCGTCAAAAGAAACCACTAACAGTAGTTAAGATCTCTTTCCTTTGTATTCTGTTTCAAAATTATAGTTGAAATCTGGTGAGACAGCTGCCAACATTGCTAGAGAGCTGGCTGAACAGACGAGAAATCACTTGAATGCTGGGGACATCACCTACTCTGTCCGAGCCATGGATCAGCTGGTAGGCCTCCTAGATGTACAGCTTCGGAACTTGACCCCAGGTGGAAAAGATAGTGCTGCGCGGAGTTTGAACAAGGTAAGAACCCAAAATATATATGTGTGTACATATATATATATATATATATATATATATATATATATATAATCTTTAAAGTTGTGATAAAATCAGAAAACCTTCACCGCTTAATTTTTCTCTTTCTATAGAATCTGATCATTGTAAAGAGAATCAACAGTTATTTTCAATTCTTTTGTTATTCCATTACAATATGGTTCTTAATCTAAAGAAATGATAAATGATTATCTCTCTATATATGTTTTGAATTTATAATTCTGTTTTCCATGGCAATTATTCTGGCGTGCTAAATTCAGACAGGGTCAATTTAGATAAATGCAATTTCTTTTTTCTTTCAAACTTTTATATTTAAGATAATTGGCCGGGCTTGGTGGCTCATGCCTGTGATCCCAGCACTTTGGGAGGCTGAGGCGGGTGGCTCACGAGGCTAGGAGTTAGAGACGAGCCTGGCCAATATGGTGAAACCCCGTCTCTACTAAAACATATAAAAATTAGCCGGGTGTGGTGGTGAATGCCTGTAGTCCCACCTACTCCGAAGGCTGAGGCAGGAAAATCGCTTAAACCTGGGAAGCCGAGGTTGCAGTGAGCCAAGATTGAGCCATTGCACCCCAGCCTGGGCAACAGAGCGAGACTTGATCTCAAAAAAAAAAAAAAAAAAAAAAAAAAAAAAAAAAAAAAAAAAAAAAAAAGAGAGAGAATTAACAATAATACAAATGTCTAATTAATAAGTAGAATTTTAGAATATAACATTAGAGAAGAAGATATTACTAATCCATTATAGATGATATAAACACTGAGATAATTTACCCTAATTAATAAAACTTTTTAAAAACTCATAAGGCAAGTAATTAAGTTTCATTTTGACTTCCTTTTGATTTTGAAATCACTCAGATTTTGTATCATTAGCATTAAAATGTTAAAAACTTAAATATATTCCAGCAGATTTGAATTGTAAGTAAAAAAATTATTTTAACTTCAGAGAGAATACGTATTATGAGTTTTTGTTTATATTTTCATTAATGAAATAAACATTTATTTACATAAACATATAAAATATATTTATAAATAATATAATGTATTTATGTAACAAAATATCACATGTTGAGTTAACCCCATGGTAAAACCTATTAGCATAGCTACCTTCAAATGTCATGTATTCCCTGAATGGCATTTGTGCAGTAGAGATGTTCAATGATTGAAAGTGAATTTTAGGGCCTTGAATATCATGATAGCCTTACTGCTTTAAAAAGCAAGAATTTGACATTGCCAGACTAATATTCCTCTATGGAGTTCACTAAAAGAACATTTTCCTTTAGAATGAAAAATGACTCTGCAAAGTCGTCTTTTAATGTGTTTAGTATTTAATATGTTTAGTTCTTCTGTGTCTTACTAGGGTAAGAATTTCACTCATCAAAAGGAAAGAAATTTTAAAATAATGATTATTCAACACAGAAAGCCAGGTATTTTATGTTTGTGTTTTTTGTTCTGCAATTTCATCTGCAGAAAACAGGTACAGTTTTATTTATTATTAGATATAAATTATTAATTTTTTTCATTCTGAGAATAAAGGAGTTATTTTTGTCACTTATGCCCTTGATAGAATCACAACCAATTGCCTGTTGGAATATAATTCATATAATCTGGGCATGCTGTGATTTTAATGCGTTGTTGCCCAGGCTGGCTGGATGCTATTAATGAATATCGCTGCCAGCAATTTTTATCATAATGTATGGGATGTAGTGATTTCTATTAATGTTACATATCCATAACATGACTTGTTATAGCAATACTTTGTATCTTTATTTAAAAATGGTGTTGATGTCTGACAGTATCAGGTAAAGCTGGCACTTAATGTCACTTTCTAACTGGCTGCAGCTAATCAGCTTGCGTACTCTGAATATCAAATAACTAAATAATGGGCAAATTTCCATTTGTGAAGTGTTTTAATGCTCTCTTTTGTTACCCATTTGGCTCTTTTCAATTGTTTATATAATGTGGTTTGTCATATGTTAATTTGCATGATGGGGTAAGGAGATGGGAGGGCAAAGGTTATTCACACGCTTGCTGGCTTGCTTTCATTTCCTGTGGTTCCCACTTTCCCTGAAGCAGTTATAACCCATCAGATTTGCAAAGTCAACTCCATACACTCAGTTGTGCTCTGTACTGAAATTCTGAAGGGTTTAGAGTCCTGCGAACTATGATGCAAGTCAGTGATCCAAATGGCAGCACTGGCAATTTACTTACACTCATTCCTCACTTAATTCTTTAGAGGAGTAACTGCTCTATGCTCACTGAAGAATGCATGAATTAGAGTTGGAAAGTGTAAGCCACACAAAAGGCATCTGGGTAACTGCTTCTTAAAACTAAGTAATGTTCTCCTTCAACAGTCGAGAATACTGAAGAAAAAAAAAAATAGGAAAGAAGAGGAGAACACACAAATGAATTTATAAAATTTTGGCTCATTTATTTAAACATGGTGGACAAACTGTTATTAACTATTCATTTTATTGCCAGGAAATAACGTTTGGGATGTAATATGAGTTGCTGCTAACTTTTTGCCCAGAAAGACATCACTCTCTATGCAAACAAACAAACATACAAAGAAAAGTATACTTCTTATCCCACCAAAGTTTCTTTCATTTGTTTTTTTGTCAGAACTGTCAAAAGAAATTCTTCAAGAAATAAAAGCAGTGGTTAATCAGGAGAATAATCACATTCTTTAAATCAGTAGCTAGTTATCCCTAGGTGTGTGCCCCTTAGAATCAAACAGTCATAATGAATGGGCATTTCTTTTTTCCTGATAAACAGAAGTTTTTATATGTATGAAGAACATATGATTTGTGGTGCTCATTTACCATTTGTAGTATCTGTAAACCACAAATAATCTTAGAAAAATGGGTTCCAAACTTCTGACATAATTTTCCTAACTTGATGTCTTTGTCACCCATAAATTAATAACTAACCTAATGTGAAATGAATCATTTCAAATGAATGAAGTATATTGATTTTTACTAATTTCTACTAAAAGTATTCAAAGATGTCTTGCTACCATTAACAACTTTATACCATACAGTTTTCACTTAGATTGTCCTGAGAGGATGTTGGCTACTATTTTTCAAGCCATTGCTTAACACTTTGCTGCTGCTTAGCTTTCATTCTCTTCTGAAAATTAGTGAATGACAAAATGAGGTGTTTTGTGTAGATGTGTTCTTTTATTTTTCTTGTTTTCTTCTGTCACTAACTTGTTTTTTCTATTCTGTGTTTAATCTGCTGTCTTAATGGATTCAGCTTCAGAAAAGAGAGCGCTCTTGCAGAGCCTATGTCCAGGTACTTTCTGCGTTTTTATAAATGTGTTAAGTTGTTGACTGTCTCCGTTGTGATGGCATGTATGGACATCTGATAGAAAAATGATAATGTAACTTACTGAAATAAAGGAATTTCATGGAGGGGAAGAAGGGTGGGAACAGAAAGGCATGCAAGTGTATATTATAAAAAGAAATTTAGCAGTGCCAATGCTCTGTCAAACGAGGAACACAGACTAAGAAGGAGGTGCAATTTGAGGTATGAACTTTTTCATCATCACTAAGAGGTGAGTTGGGTATAATCTATAAAATCCCTATCTATAAAATCCCTATTTTTTTATTGGGGTGGGTATGAAAGCATTTCATTTATACATTGGATCAGCCAATATTTGAATAGCAAGTCATTCAGAAATGAAACTCAATCAGTCTTATAAGACAACAAATAGTCCAGAATACTTGGAATGTCATGCTTCTGTTCCTCAGTATAGCTGTTTATTGACTCAAGTCATGATTGTGACTATCTTACTCTCTTATTGCAAAAACTGTAATCCAAATGTGAATATACTTTGTTTCCACCTGTTGTGTTCTAATTTGTAAGCATGTTGTAAATTATAAGCAATAAACCATACCTATGTTTATTAGTTTTGTATGACAAAGAACAACCTCAGAAGCAGCTCTCTACTTTTTTGTTTTTTGTTTTGTTTTGTTCTTGTTATAAGAAATGAAGGAGAGATACAAGGAAGGCAGGAGGAAATATAAAAATGTTTGGCTGTAAACTATATTCTACGTATATACATTTCACAGCATTTTCAAAGAGGAAGTCCATCTGCATTTAAAGAGAGATACCCTCAATAATGAAATTAATGGGTATGAGATTGACAGTTAAAAATGAAACTTTATGAGTTAATTCACAGGTGAACATAATATCAGGGTGTTTACTTCTTTTTAACCGAAACTCTTAAGTTGATATAAATAATAAAAATTGATTTGTTTATGTCTTCCTTTCCAGTGATCTTAATATTCACATCTGCTATCCTTCTCGGTAGTATAAAATTGAGAAATGGATTTATAATTAGGTAGTAACTTAGCATAAACTCATAGCAAAAGGAGCTGGATAGCCTTGGGGAAAACTTAGATTGTGGAAAGCACAATACAGTAGACTTTTTAATGAATAGAAATATATCTGTATACCAGCTATAATCATTTGCTTAATTCTAGCTGGCAAATTCTTTTTCTTCTAGCTACCCCATTTGTAAATTTCATACATGAATATCTTCATGTCCTCAACAAATATTGAACAAAACAAATATAGTACAGTTCCTATCTAGGATTCTATTATCTAGGAGAAAATATTGACTAATAAATATTAGTACACTAACACTTTACAGTAATGAAAATGCAGTTGAGTAGATTCAGCTTTCTTTAGATATACTCTCATTCTGGAAATGTATACTGATCACTTTGATTGAATTTGGTGTTTTCCAAGTCTCCTGAGCAACTCAAGAACACATTACAAGTGTTCCCCATAAGTCAGCTAAATTTGTAGTTGGCCGAATGTGTCTATTATGATTCTGTGCGGTTTCTGTAGGGAAGGAAAGATTCTGATCTGCAGCTAGGTTCATGGCTTAGGCCCCTATCACAAAAGACAAGTTAACAAGAAAAAAACTTCCAAATTTATTTTATATGAATTTTATGTGAGATAGCAGCATTTGAAAATGACCCCAGGAAACAGAAAAACTTGTGTTTTTTATGCTTCGGTTTGATGAAGAGTAGACAGTTGTGGGAAAGTGCAACTGGACGCAGGGGAAATGATCTTAATGGTAATACATTGGAGGGACTTAGCAAGGCATTCGATTCTTCTAGGCATCTCTGCGTCTTGGTATTCTTTCTTCCAGATACAGGGAGATGTGAGTCAGGGTGATATAAATGCTAGAAATCAATTTGTTTATTTATGCCTTTCCAGTGATCTGAATATTCACATTCTACTATCCTGGGTAGTATAGAATTGATAATTGGATATTCTCTAAGGAGAATATTATGACCTGGTTGAGGGGAAAGTTAGAAAATTCTTGCTCAGTTTTTTGACTTGTATAAGGAAAAAAGGGCAGGGGGAAGATGAGAGTTACCTTCCTGCTTTTGCTGTTTTCTCAGATGCCAAGGTGACATATTTTGAAGTCACGTGTTTTAAATCTTATCAATTTTTATTACTTTAATCTCAGGATTGTTTTGCAGAATGAGCAATTATAAACTTAAAAACCGGAGTGAAAGAAGTATTATTTTGTTCTTGCATATTTCATTCTGAATGTGAAGCCAATAGAATAAGGCTAATAAGGGCATTTTGTGAAAATATTGCTTAAAAAGAAAAAGAAAATGTAAACACTTCATGGAGATTAGGAAGATAAACTTTTAATTTGCATTTTATTGTATAAAATAATGAACTTTTGTGTATAAGAAACTGTTCAAGTTTATTTTTCTAAAATTTGGGGGGAAATTGTTTTGGAAGGTGTATATAGGTGTATTTATATACATACACACATACACACACACACACACACACACACACACACACACATATATATACCTGTATTTATAAATATATATCTATATATGATCTATACTCTCAGTGAGTGCAATAGGCATAGAAATCAAAGTATCCTTTATCACCAAAAGCTGAAGATCATTTTTGAGCTGAGCAATGTTAGGATTGTTTTTGATTGCAATCTATGCTATCCTTTTAATGGGACCTTTGGGATAATTAGTCTTTTGGTATTTAAACCTATGAAATGCATGGTCATTCAAACATGAATCTCTGGTGGAAAATTAATAGCAGTTTATTCAATGGTTGATTTCCTGGGTTATAATTGACTGACTATGAATAAATATTTCAGCTATTGAGTAAACATCTGATAATACCAAATACAAGCAGAATATTGATGAATCAGAAATGCTCTGCTCTCTAATACATTGTACTGTCTCTGTTCTTCTTGATGCAGATCATTATTCCATGAAATTCCAGAGGGAATAATACCTTAAACTTTAGTCTATTTGAATTTTAGAGAAGTGTTTTATGTTTCCTATTGTTTATATGTTCAGAGTACATTCAGAGCTATCTATGAAATAGGTGTGAAATATGCTTGAAGTGCTTTATGCATTAAATTTGAAATAAGGTGATTGCTAAGTCATCATAATTTTTTTTTTAAAAATATGGCCTTTTCATAAGCACAAGCAATGACCCTTTTAGGGTTGATTTTCACTGTCTAAATCCATTTAACTTTCAATTACTTAGAGATTCAGTGTCTATTTTATGAATTATCCAGCTTTACCTTTCATGTCTTCTTACTTTTAACCTTTTGTTTATCTCACACACAAATGAGAGCACAGTGGAATTTTAACTATTAGTTGTCAACTATGATAACTGACCTGTAGTTGTACAATTAAAAGTTGGTCGGTGTGATATTTTAAATAATATGTGAATCTCCTAAATGCCATTATGTTTGCATCCCAAGAGTTTTAACAAAAACAAGAAATTTGAGTTTAATATACACATTTAAATTTTAATTCTAATTTTAGTTACACTAAAATCCTTGTTGACTATCATAAGCTATAAATTGGTATGTGTCATAGTAAAACATATCACTTCCATATCTTAGACACAATGACATGTGTCTATAGTCCCAGCTACTCGAGAAGCTAAGGCAGAAGGATTTTTTGAGTCCAGGAGTTCGAATATAGCCTGGGTAACATAGTGAGACCCCTGTCTCTTTATTAAAAAAAAAAAAAAAAAAGGAAAAGAAAAGAAAAATGAGAGTTTTAAGTTTTATACTAGAAAAAACAAATAAGGCTTGTGTTACACATGCATATTAAACAGTTGCTGTGATTTAATATTACCAGAGGGGCCTTTTAGGTGAAGATGAGATAGTATACTGGCCCAAAGTCACACAAATGACACGGATGGTACTATTGCTTGTTTCCTGACATATGTCCTGTGCTGCTTCAACACCATGATTAAGAATAACGATGATTTGTTATTAAGAATAAATTTATTTCCTGTAATCCCAGTACTTTGGAAGGTCTAGGTGGGCAGATCACTTGAGACCAGGAGTTTGAGACCACCCTGGTCAAGATGGTGAAACTTTCTCTCTACTAAAAATACAAAAATTAGCTTGGCATGGTGGTGCATGCCTGTAATCCCAGCTATTCAGGAGGCTGAGGCAGGAAAATCACTTGAACCTGGGAGGCAGAGGTTGCAGCGAGCTGAGATTGTGCCACAGTACTCCAGCCTGCGCAACAGAATGAGACTCCATCTCCAAAAATAAAAATTAAATAAATTTATTTATTGGGCATTAATTATGTGCCATTATTAAGAGCAATTAGCATACATTCTTATTTAATATTCGTAACAACCATATGATATAATTATTGCAATTTTTAACTTACAGTTGAAAAAATGGAGGTGCGGGAAGGGTTACATGATTTTCACAAGACCACAAAATAATAATCAAGGGTCCCCTAAATTCAAAGCTAAGTCTTTCTAATTCAGATGCTTGTGCTCCTAATCGCTGAGATGCTCTTATTAGTAGGACTGACTTCATCTCTTGATGATAGGAGGCAAGATAAATCATGAGGTCTATGTTGATTGATTTTTTGCACTGTATTTCAGGGATAGAAGGCAGTAAAACAATTTATTTTTCAACCTCTTTTTTGAGACAGAGGTGAAATAGCGATGGGGTAATTATTTTGTGCTGCCATATTAAAGTCATATCCAAATATAATTTGCTTTGAGGTCTTTTTATTTTCAGAGGAGACTCTGATGAAAACGTTATCATCTTAAGAGAATAAAAAACCAGCAGAAAGATATAGTAACTATGTTAAAGAAGGAACTGTTTTCCAGTGACTATACCATTTTCCACCAGCAGTGTATGAGGATTCCAGCACCAATACTTGTTACTTTCTGTCTTTCTTACTATAGCCATGCTAGTAGTGTGTGTGAATTGCAAAAGTTCTTGACTCTAGCCATGGGGTGGG